GAATTTTTGCGGATACTCTTTTTGATGGTACTTCACAATACAGTGTTCCAATGAATGTTAGGCAGCTAGTTTCTGTTTAAGCAATGAATAAAGCAAAGATTTACATTGGAAAGAAGCCATATATGGTAAATAGAGTTGTGCATGGCCGGTCCAAATTGGGTTCGAGTCGAAGCCATACTTAGTATTAATATTTTATGTACTTATTTAGGCCTAGCTTGATCTAATATTAATATTTTGGGTCTCAAAAATTTCTCAAATCAAATTTAAAGTGAAAAAATAAATCTTATATCAATCTATTAAACTTAATTTATGTAATAAAAAATTAAAAGAGTTCTTTTTAAAAATATATATATATAATAAAATTTCACATATATATACTTATATAATTATAATATTTTAATAATATATAGTTTATTCAAGTTGGGTCGAACAAAGCACGGGCTTTAATTTTTTTATTTAGAATCCAGTTTAAAATTTAAACGGATTTAAAATTTATGTTTAAACTCATTTAATGAATTTTAATTTTTTATTTAAATTTTTTTAAAATTTGAACAAACTTTTGAGTTTAAATGAATAGTTCAACACTTGAACAAATTTAACAGTTAATTAAATGCTTGTATTTACAAATTTATAGTCAACTTATCATCAGTTCATTTATATGTATATTAATCATGGAGAAATGAACAAAATGGTGTCAAAATATAATTTACTATCGTTTTGATAGCTGTGCCTGCATGCTTGCTCGTCAGTGAATATAGAACTTTTATCCATCTGCATCACTTTAGAAGTAAAAATGGTCCACAAGCTAATAATTTTATATAACAACCAAACAAAGATAGCTTACCAATTTGTTGTAAAGCTGACAGACACAAATTTTCAGTTTTAGTACTTGTGTAAATGATCACATGCTCGGCGACATGATCACTGGGGTGTAATCAAGTCGAGTCCAATTGATATAACTCGAAGCTCGAGCTTGAGCTTGATTCACAACTCGAAGCTCGATATTCGATTCAAACTCGATCGAGTTTTATTTTTTAAGTTCGAGTTCGATTCGTGATCAAATTCAAACTACTCAAACTCGCTCAATTAAGTTCGATTAATATGTAAAAATAAACTCGATTCGTATACTCGACAAGAGTTCGATTATTTATATTCGAACTCGAACTCGGACTTGAAATATTTTATTAATTAAAATAATAAAAATATATTTAAATATAAAAACTTGATTAGACTCGCGAGCTATTCGAGCTGGATATAAGAGTACTCGAATTATATTCGATCGATAAATCAAGCTACTCGAGCTCGAGCTTGACTCGATAATAATTAAATCGAATTTGAGTTTTTTTCGAATCAAACCTGAATAGCTTGCGAATACTAATGTATCATTTACACTCATAATGATCACGAGGTATCATTTTAGAAATATGTTTAGAAATATAAATGCTCGTATCATTTTAAATTTATGAGATATATTTTATAAAATAAAATTAAGAGATTCAATAAACCGAATAATATTTTATAAATTAATATGGACAGTAATATTTAATATTAAATCATACACCATAAGCAGAATCTTTTAACGACATTTACACTAGCCACTTTCATACTAACGTTTGTGGTTTGACTTACTACTTCTTTGCCTTTTTTCTTGTTCAAATTTTCCTTTTTTTATTTTCTCCTTAATTTATTTAATTAAGAATAAGAAGGAAATGGAAAATAATTAGAAATCAAAGAAGTTCACCGATTCCCATGGTGATTAAAAAAAAAAGATAAAGATGGAAAAATGTTTCCAATTTGTTGACAATTTCTCTTAAATCAAACTTCAGAATCTCGAATTGCTTTTTACTTCGTTACTAAACTCTTATTTCAATTCAATTTTTTCTTTGTATTTAATTAGGGAAATTTTAAGGTTTCATCTAAGGAAAGAAAGCTGTTGCATGTATACTAACAATCTCCTCTCACCAGCTATCCAAGAAAATTAAATGGAAAAAGGGGTCTTCTATTTTTCTACTTGGTTTCTAAAACATGGTATGACATGATCACATGAATATCAATAATTGGCTGTTATGTTCTTATTTTTAAGTCAACCATTTATTCCTTATAATGCTAATATCTCAGTTTTGTATCCTTCAGCTTGGTTTGGGATATTTATTTGCTGACGACGAGCTCTCTGCCAATGATGACTTGTTGAAGCTGTTTTATGAGTGCAAAGACTACGTTGTTGCAACTTGCCAAGAAGTTTGTGGAATGATAGAATAGACGATCTTTGCAGATAGGTTCTATTGTATACAGCTGCCTGGATGTTTCTACCAATCGAAAAAGCAAGTATTTTTAAACTTATCGGACTGATGCCATATGCTTATGATAAAGTAGATGGTTTCATCAAATGCTACTAACTAATTAAAACGATGATGGAGTGCATGTTTCTGGCACATTGGTTTCTTCGCATGCAAGAAAATGGTGTTTGGTTTCTTCTCATGCATGCAAGTGTCTGTTTAGCGGGATTTGCCATGTCCTATGATACCTTGTGGTTGTCTGAATCTTTCACATCTGATGATGTTCAATACGAATTCTACTTGTAGGTGTATGAAACAGTGGAAACAATGTTACTGCCTCCTGATGAAGAAGTCATAAAGAGAACAAAGCAGGCAGAAGAGTCACTGACAATGGAAAATGGAAGCCCTGCTGGTGAGCTAAAACGTCCGTTTAAGAAGCTTGGTCTCAACTGTGGTGGCAAGGATAAACAGCACAGAAAACCACCTACAAAAGACCAGAGGAATTCAGATGAGAACCTCTCTCGTCCATTTGCGAGCCTTTTTTTTTTATAGTAATTCATCTATATTTTCGAAGAAGCATCTCTCACTGATTGATAAACCTCCGTCCTTCGATGAAAGTGATTGGACATTGGTTTGATCATACCATTTTTTTTGTCCCCTCTTTTTCAGTTAGGTTAAGCGGCATAGTTTTGCAGATAATTGTAAATTATTGTGAAATAAGCTGATGCTTCACCAGAAGTAATTTGAAGATTGATTCAAAAAAGAATGAATTTATTTTTGATAGCAATCGTCTGCACGATCATGTTTCATAAATTGGAGAAAATGAATGACTACAAAATAACAAGGAAGCATATACTATAGCAAGAGTTTTGTTGGGTCGGATTTGGCAATGTTTTGTCTTGTCTTCAGGAAAGCTGTCTTCCATTATTGAGCTTGATTTTGTTATCTGCACCCTCGTATTCTTATTAGATCTAAAATACGATATGATAATAAGATACGAACATGATATATAATACGAAAATATGACACAAAAGTAATTTAACTTAAAATTTTAACAATAATTATACATAAGTTTAACAAAATTAAAAATATATATTTTATGTTTTTGTATTAATACAAATTGTGATATGTAATTTTCATATAAAATATAAAATAAATATACAAATTTTAATACTTTATACAGCATAAATATACAAATTATCAAGTCTATTTTCAACTATGTCATTTTTCATTTGGTCATCTGGTCTTCGAATTCAAAATACTAGGAGATGAAATAAGGTGCCATAAAATTCGATAACAACCAGCCTTGGAGCTTCAATGCTGAAGAGCAAAAGCTTTCAGTTTCTGTTTGTGTTTGAGCTGAGAATGTATTGGAAGAACTGAAGAATGACAATGGAGGCACGGCGTCGGGACATTCACAGTTCAAATACAACACTTTCAGCAATCAGCAGACTGGCTAATTGGATTCCTTAGGGGCAATGGATAATGCTTGGACTAAAATAGATTGAAAATAAACACTTGTTTGGTTCGGGTCAGGTTGATATTTAATGTTATCAAGTCAAAATCTTGCCCCAATTCAAAGGCATATGGCCTAACCTTGTTGTATATTAAAACATGCAGTACAAATTTAATGAGGAAAGCAGCTGATTTTGACTTGATGACTAATGACTATGCTTGGAGGTCTTCGTCATCTATATAGATATATCTTGCTAAGGTCAAGTCATTCAAAGATAATTGGATAAATCAGGAGTAAATACAAATAAGCATTAAAAATTGTTATATCATTGATCATCAAATTTAAAATTTTTAAATTTTTAAAAATAAATATTTTTAAATTTTAAATATTTAAGAATTTATATTCAATATAATTTTAGTTTATAAATATTATACACTATCAGTAAATCATACACTAATAATTTATTAAAAAATTAATTTTAACATTTTAAAAATCCTAAAAATAAATATACTTAATCCTAAAAATATATTTAAAATTAATTTCTTAATGATGTGTCATTGTGTAGTTTACTATTGTTCTGATAGTATATAATATTATATATTGAAAGCATATTAAATATAAATATAATATTAAAATATATTAAAATTAATAAATTAATGAGGTAATAACTTGTGATATGTTAATAGTATATAGCATTTATACACTTGATAGAGTATCAAATATAAATCATAAAAAAAAAACTAAAAAACAATGCAAAATTGCATGCCAACTGAGTAGTTGATCATTGACAGAGCGGAAGATCTTGTTGTTTAGAATTAATTGAAAGAAATGGATCTAAGAACTACAAAGGCAAACCAGCTGTGGCATTGATGGTACGTTTAAAAAGTAAACTTAAGAAAGGCGTGGATATGGAGTGAAGACATTTTAAAACCCCAAAGACAAGAACACAAATAATCCATGCAAATCGCAAAACATGAGTGAAAAGTCCATGGTTTTTGGATTCTGAATCATACAAACAATGGCTTTCATTGTTAGAAAGCAAGGTTAAGATCCAGTCATTGCAATCAGGGATGGGGCAAGTGACAGTTGGGTGCATTAACTCTTCCGACACGGCTTTTAGATAGGAAGATGAGCAAAATTTAATTAAGACCTCAACCGTACTCTCTCTCGAAGCCTTCATGGCTTCATTTTTTTTCCTATATAACCACTCCTTCGAGCTTCCACTTCTCATCAAAGTCATTTTTACAAGTGTTATAGACTTGGCAAATATGTCTTCTTCTAAGCTTCTTCTTGTTTTCTTTCTTGGTGCTATTGTTTGGGCCACTAGTGCTAGGAAGCTTGCCGGTGGGATTGAGGATGAGAAAAACCTCTTTCATCGTCGACCGAGATTTGGTGGTGGCTTAGGAGGAGGAGGAGGTGGTGGTGGAGGGTTTGGTGGTGGAGGTGGGTTAGGAGGTGGTGCAGGTGGCGGAGCTGGATTTGGTGGAGGTGCTGGTGCTGGTGCTGGGCTTGGTGGAGGTGGTGGACTTGGTGGAGGAGGCGGTGGAGGATTCGGAGGTGGTGGTGGTGGTGGACTAGGGGGTGGTGCTGGTTTTGGAGGAGGTGCTGGCTTTGGAGGTGGAGCTGGAGGTGGAGGCGGGTTCGGTGGTGGCGGAGCTGGCGCTGGTGGTGGGTTCGGCGGTGGAGCTGGTGCAGGTGGTGGGCTTGGAGGTTTCCCTTGAAGACATAGAATGTCACATTTCTAAACATTTATATTGTAGCATTTATTTTTTTTCCAATGCGCTTCATGATCATCAGGAAGTCATGTTTTATGTTTTTGTTCGTTCCAAATGTACATTAATGAAGAAAATAAACGTCGTCTATATGCAAGCTCTTTGATATAATGATTTACGTACCTTGGTTTTGATATGGTGCATAGTTGCTTGATGAACCTGCAACATCATCAAATCAAAGTAAACCATGCATGAAAAGAGTTGTATTCCGAGCTTAATTAAAGCAGCTGGTTTTTGCTGCTTTAATTCAAAAAGACAAATAAATTCAGGATAAATAAGTTGCGTAAATTTTCAAATCAAAATAAAATGTATTGCATTCGATAGTTTAAGTAAGGAGATTAGAGGTTAAGAGTGAAAAAAAATTAAAAAATTTAAAAATCGATTTAAAATCATAGCATTTGATTTGGTTTGGATTTATTTTTTTTTATTCTATTCGGATTAAGTTTATATATTAAATGTATATATTAAGTATGGATTAAATTTTGAATCGAGAGGTAAAAAATAAAAAAATTGAATTGAACTAAATTATATATTTTTTATTTTTATATATATTTTAAAATTTTATAAAATAAATAATAAATTTATATCAAAATTTATTTAAATATATTAAAATTTTATATTAAAATAATATATAAATATTAAAAATTAAAAATCGATAAATCAAACCAATTTGGATTGATAAAATTTGATTTAAATCAAATAAAAGTTTGATTTTAAATTTTTATAATATTATATAATATCTAAAAAAATTAAATTTAATTTAATTTAAATTAAATTTTTATCACATTTATTAAAAATTATATATTTAAGATAATTTTAATAAATAAATATCGATTAAACTCGATCCTAAAATTTTTTTATTAAAAAGAATAAAATTTTATCGTTTGAGTCGATAAGAATGAAAAAGGCAAAATGACAGATGATTACTTTTACCTATAAAATCATCTATGAAAGGTAGGCTATTAGATCAAATGACATTCTTTTCCTTTTAGCTCATAGGAAAATTAATTACAAATAATTTTTCCATCTTTCATCCCTTGCGGGTTTAGATTTGAATTGGCAATTTTAAGGTTCATTTGCCAACAACGTACGAGTGCTGTCAAATGAATCCTTAGCCAATGCAATCTTTCTTTCATTTTCTATTTATTAATTTCGCCTTCGTCCTTGATTCTACTCGACCACTTACTCTAGCTAACTGTACGTTAAATTTAATAATTTAAAATATAATATAATAATATAATAAAAATAAAATATAAAAATAATATAATTTAAAATTTTAATAATTATTATTTATATATTTAATCAAATATAAAATATATTTTTATATTTTTATATCGATACGAATTATAATATATAATTTTTATATAAAATACGATATAAATATATAAATTTTAATATTTTATATTATATAAATATACAAAATACCGTATACGTGATTATCTACTTTTGCCAGCAGCTAAATGCATGGCAGCATGGTACAATATTATTAATTCTTCACACCAAGCTACACCCACCGACATCCTTCTCTTTAGTTTTTTTTTTCTTTTTTTTTCTTTTTCATAGGATGCTTACGAAAAAAAAAAAGAAGGAGAAAATCAACTAAAAACTCACGCACGTAATCGATATGAGATTAAAAGGAAGAAGATCCATTATATGACTGGCGAAATTCATCATTCAGTTTGTTTTTGTAGCCAATTGAACACATCAACAATTAAAAGTTAATTGATTTTTAATCATACTAAAATTTTTATATAATTATTGGGTTTATGTTTTATGCATTATCGGTATATAAATTTTATATATTATTAATAATTGATTAATGTTATCTTATTAATGAAATAAATCAGATGATATTATTTTATTAATAAATAATTAAGTTTTTTAAAATTATTAATTTTTTGTATATTTATTTTAAGAATTAATATTTACTTATTAATAAAATGATATCATCTGATTTATTGATAATATATAAAATTTATATTTATATACTAATAATGTATTAAATATAAATTTATAATAATTTATTAAAAACTCACGTACATGACATAAGAAGTGGGAACCTAAGACAACCTAATATTAGAGATGAAAAAAAATTGGAAAAAATAAAAAAATTGATTTGAAATCATAGTTTTTGATTTGATTTTAATCGATTTTTTTATTTGATTTGAAATAATTTCGGATATTAAATGTATATATTGAGTAAGAATTGAATTTTAAATTGAGAAGTTAAAAACTAAAAAAAAAAAAAAGAATCGAACTAAATTATATAATTTTATTAATTTTTATATATTTTTTAAATTTTTATAAAATAAAAATAATTATTGTATACCTAAATCTATTTAAATAATTAAAAATCATATTAAAATAATATATAAAAAAACAAATCAAAATAAATTTAAAAATTAATAAATCAAACCGAACCAATAGAATTTGAGAAATGGATCAAATTCCATGAAAGTTTGATTCAAATTTTAAAATTTTATAATTTTATAATTTTATACATTATTCATAAAAATCAAATCGAATCTAATTTAATCCGAACTGAAATTCTGTAGGTCTAAAAATTTTATATCCAAATTTCGGCCAATTTAACCCAATTAATTGTAAACCCGCCGTAAACTGTTTTATCTCTTGCTTTTGCATCTTGAGGCCCAATTGCGGAGTCTAAAGCATTTCTATGGTCTCATCTCCTCTATTTCTGGGCTGTTTTCTTAAGCCCAAGGTTATGGAGAAAATATTTTTCTAGAATTTTGAAAATTAAAATAAGCCGAAACTTTAATTTCTGACCCAAACAAAGCCCAAAATCTCCGCCGTTACTTTTCTTTCCATTCTCGGTCAAGGGAAGAAAAGAATCCCAACTTTTCTTCCACCTACCAATAAAACGATGCCACGTAGGCAAGCTCAACTGTGCTTGCCATATTGGAAACAGCAGCCCCCGCAAAACGCGCATCTTCGCGGTCTCTCTAGCACTCTCTCTCTCAAAGAACAAAATAGGAAAGAACAGCGAAATCAATCTTCAAAACCTTTTTTTTTTGTAAATTATACTGTATTCGCCGACTCTCAGATTCGTCTGCTAAGCCTACAATCAGGTCAAGCCTCTCTCTCTGTTCTAGCTAATTGCTTCATTTCTCATTTAATTTTTTTTTATTGAGCTAAATGTGATTATAAACAGAAATCTGATGACTATTTTGATTTTTGGAAAAAAAATTTAAGAAAATATTGATTTTTTTTTTGGTTCTGATATTGGAAACAGAAGGGATTGAATAACGGTGATGTTGGGCGCATTAAGGAGAAACGTTGCGAGCAGAGGCTCATCAGCTTCGGTTAGAACTTTTTAATTTTTTTTTTAAATTTTATTTTGTTTAGCTAAAAAACTTGGATTTATTAAAAAAAATTTTTCATTTTTTTTTTATTTTTCAGGCGTTAAGGAAGTCATTGCATGCGATTCGGCCGGGTGTTTCAGCGTCCGGAGTTTCATCGGATGCTGGAAAAGAGGTAAAGTAATTCAGTTGAAAATTAATTTGATTTGTTAATCATGCTTGTAGTTCAGTTTCTTTGAATTTTGATTGATTTTGATGCTTTTAAATTTATTAATGATGTCGAAGATGCTTCATTTATTTAGGCTTTGCTATTGTAAAATGTTGCAAGATCATATTTTGTTTTGTTTTGTTTTGTTTTGTTTTTGAAAGAACAAGTGGTGAAATTGAAATGCCAATTCAAATTTAGTCCTGCGATTTAAAGTAAAAAATATGCATTTTGTCAATAATTTATTAAAAAGTTTTGTTAAGTAGTAAAAGCAATAACCAAATGGAAGCTTTTGTTTTATTAATCATTTTGGATTTTTATCATCCATTGGTAAATATTGTCGTGAGATTTAAATTTTAAGTGTTTGAACAGATACTATTACTTCAGCCAAGAGGAATTACCCATGTCCGGAACTTCTCTCCTCTTGTTCTGCCGGGTAAATCTTTTGGGTGGATTTCTTCTCATGTTGGCATAATTTTGTTGATTGTTTATGTTATTGAATGAAAATTATTTCATGATTATTACAGGCTGTTCTATTGGTTTAACAAAGACAAGGTTAGTTGGTTCTGAACTTTCTAATGTACGTCAATGTTAGGAATTATACTGTCACCTATTTGTCATTACTTGACACAGTGAGGGTATGAGTTGACTACTGGATTAATCTGATGTTTGCATGTGTAATTACCATATCTATCTTTAATAGAAGGTCCATTTCAGTGCAAAGTATTGCATCTCATTTCTGTTAGGGAAATTCAATGCTCATGACTTTTTTTAATTCTTTAAATCAGTTTGCTGCTTCTTAGCACTTCTTTCCCGACAGCTTTTCTTATGTGCAGGGATGTCATTTCTAGCATTCAGTCAGAGACTATCATGCAAAAGTCATGCAGGGCTTTCTCTTCTGGAGATGGTATGACATTGACTAATGTCCTTAATGAAATTTAGTTTGCCAAAGGCATGCATTTCTTGTCTTGTTGTTTTCTTTTAAATGGTTATTAATACATGGGTGTGCCTTGTTGGATTTGCAAGAATTAAATTCCTGTGCATCATAATTGTTCATTTGATCACCACTTTATCTGGTATAGACCATTAACATCTAACTGTTGCCAATCCCGTTTTGCAGTTAGCAGTTGGACTGTCCAAGAGTTACTAGGTCATGCAATATGTCAAAATAAGAAAATGGTTTTAGTTCAGAATTTCTTTTAAAATCTTTCTCTGGAAAAGTGTAAGGGCAATAGTATGAAAATTTTACCTGTAAGTTAGTTGTATAATGATTTGGAGTAGAATTTTAGTGGTACTAGATTTGCACCTCCACCTTTTTGGCATTTTTAACTTGCAAAAAGTACATATTGATGAGGTGGTACTAGACTTGCACCTCCACTTTTTTGGCATTTTTAGTGCTTTTTTAACTTGCAAAAAGTAAATATTGATGAGGAACAGGTGTCTGCTTGAAAACAACCATGCATTCCTTTTCATGTCATTATTATGTTAAATTTAAAATTTTTTGACTTTCCCAATTTAATTGTGATGAAGGAGATCTGGTTGATGCTGTTGTCCCTTTCATGGGAGAATCAATATCTGATGGCACTTTGGCAACATTCTTGAAAAGTATGTTTTCCACTAATGTGATTTTCATCCATTCTCTAGACATATTCGTTTTCATGGTTGTAAGTGCTTGATTGTGGATGTATCTGAATTTTTGAGAGCAGAACCTGGTGATAGAGTAGCAGCTGACGAACCAATTGCTCAAATAGAAACTGATAAGGTACTATTCCTGACCTTTTCTTCATTGAGAATTGATATTTGTTTATACTCCTAATACCCTCAGCATTTATTTTCATCAGGTAACAATTGATGTTAGCAGTCCCCAAGATGGTGTGCTACAAGAGGTAATATGTCAACAAATCTGAATCTTTGGGTCACACATGCATGCATGCACATGTCTAGCTTGTTGGTCATTCCTAGACTCCTACCTTTGCATTTCTGGGAACAAGAGAAGTGGATTGGATCCTGAACTTTAGTGTTATAATTCTTGCCAGTATGTGGCCAAGGAAGGAGATACAGTGGAACCAGGTAACAGGATTGCTGTCATTTCAAAGTCTGCTGAGGGTGTAGCACCAGCTGCCCCTGCTGAAAAGAAATCAGAAAAAGCTGCTTCCGAGCCATCTCCAGCTGAAACTGTGGAGAAGCCTAAAACCCCATCATATGATGAAGGGGATCTGGTTGATGCTGTTGTCCCTTTCATGGGAGAATCAATATCTGATGGCACTTTGGCTACATTCTTGAAAAGTATGTTTTCCACTGATGTGATTTCTATCAATTCTCTGGACATATTCATTTTCATGGTTGTAAGTGCTTTATTGTGGATGTATCTGAATTTTTGGGAGCAGAACCTGGTGATAGAGTAGCAGCTGACGAACCCATTGCTCAAATAGAAACTGATAAGGTACCATTCTTGACCTTTTCTTTATTGAGAAGTGATATTTGTTTATACCCCTAATACCTTCAGTGTTTATTTTCATCAGGTAACAATTGATGTTACTAGTCCCCAAGATGGTGTGCTACAAGAGGTAATATATCAACAAAACTGGATCTTTGGGTCTCACATGCACTCACGCACGCACATGTCTAGCTTGTTGGTCATTCCTAGACTTCTACCTTCTCATTTCTGGGAACAAGGGAAGTGGATTGGATCCTGAACTTTAGTGTTATAATTCTTGGCAGTATGTAGCCAAGGAAGGAGATACCGTGGAACCAGGTAACAGGATTGCTGTCATTTCAAAGTCTGCTGAGGGTGTAGCACCTGCTGCTTCTGCTGAAAAGAAATCAGAAAAAGCTGCTTCCAAGCCATCTCCCCCAACTGAAACTGTAAAGGAGGATAAGCCAAAAGCTAAAGTTGAAACTTCTCCTTCTGTCGAGAAGCCTAGAGCCCCATCTCCACCACCTCCAAAACGAACTGCTACTGAACCTATACTTCCACCCAAGGAAAGGGAAAGAAGAGTAAGTCTTTTCATTTCTGTTTACATCCAATGGTACCTTTAGTGAAGAATGATGTTAGCATTCTTAGAAAATAATCCTGAGCATATGTATTCATGATTACAGGTTCCTATGACAAGGCTTAGGAAACGGGTTGCTACACGATTGAAAGATTCTCAGAATACTTTTGCAATGTTGACAACATTCAATGAAGTCGACATGTGAGTTCAATTTTCCCTCATATTTTAGTTCTTTGTATCAGGTGTTAGGCATCCTGCTGACTGCCTGTTATTTGCTTCCCTTACCTGATAAAATTTTTTTGTGAAGTTGATCAGATCAGTTTACTTTTTAAAGGCTATGGTGTATTCATGATAAAGCTGATTCTGTTGATTTGTTTTCTTTTCTTATTGATTTGCTTCTCATTGCAGGACTAATTTGATGAAGCTCCGCTCTGATTATAAGGATGCTTTTGTTGAGAAACATGGTGTCAAGTTGGGATTTATGTCCGGATTTGTTAAAGTATGCAATGATTTGTTATTGAAATGCTTACATATGCATTCATGGTCTGCCATCACTAGTTTTGCTTTCTCTTTTTTCCCTTACCGTTGCTTCTATTTTATTGTTTCAGGCTGCTGTTAGTGCACTTCAGCATCAGCCTATTGTAAATGCTGTAATTGACGGGGATGATATTATTTATAGAGACTATATAGATATCAGCATTGCTGTTGGTACTCCGAAGGTAATCTTTTTTGCGATTGTCTTCCTTTAACATTCTTTGATTTGCCAAATTACAATTTAGCCATTTAATGACTTGCTGAAATTTGGATTGTTAGTGTTTCTCTCAGCATTCTTTCTTGGCTAGTTTTCAAAGAAAAATTTCAATCTCTGGGTTTTATGCATGTAAAAATGTATTGAAATTAAAAATTTCCTGTGAAGTTAGGGCAGTTTGTGAAGTTGAAATGAGTAATTAATAGGTTCAAAACTTTGTCCTTTAACAATTATAGAACATTATATATTTTTTGTTGAAGGCTTTTTTTTTTTTTTTTTTTTGCTTGTTTTCTTTATTACTGAAGTTGCTTTTTTTATTTTATGACAAATGAGAAAATGAGGTATCTTGAAGATTATATAAGTCTTTTCTCATTTTATTTGGTTGCTCTGCCAATTGTGTAGGCAAGTATTGATAAATATATGCATGGACCTCATCCCTGTGCAACCATTGAAAGTTAGAATAAAGAAAAGGAAGAATGTGACTCATGTTCTATGTTAAGCTTTTTGTTCCTTGTTTCCTGCAGGGGCTTGTCGTTCCAGTTGTCCGTGATGCTGATAAGATGAATTTTGCTGAGATAGAGAAGACAATTAACAGCCTTGCAAAGAAGGCAAATGATGGGACCATATCAATTGATGAAATGGCTGGAGGCTCGTTTACAATATCCAACGGTGGTGTTTATGGAAGTCTGTTGAGTACCCCCATTATCAACCCTCCTCAGGTTAGTGGTTACAAACTGCATATGTATGCACCTACACATGCTTGTATGTGTATGAACGATGGTTCCATACACTTGTGACTTATCCATATTCGTAGAGGTGTTTGGTCACTCTTCTGAGTTACTCATTTTTAGCTTTTGCTTGTGACTGATAAGAGAATCTTACATAATTAAACAATTTTTTGGCAGTCGGCTATCTTGGGTATGCATTCAATAGTGTCCCGACCAATGGTTGTTGGAGGTAACGTAGTCCCAAGACCTATGATGTATGTTGCCCTCACTTATGACCATAGGCTGATTGATGGAAGAGAAGCGGTCTTCTTCTTGCGTCGTATCAAGGATGTTGTGGAAGACCCCCGCAGGCTGCTACTTGATGTATGAAGGCCCTAATAGCAACTGCTGTTATATTTCATTAGCATTAGATGCATACCTCTTGTTTAAATGAACAAGAATAAATGCCTGAAGTTTTGTAGGGTTTCATTTGTTGATTCACCCTTTATCGAGTTCCAAAATTGCGGCTAGCCATTGTTGAACTATATCAAGCATCGAAAACATATTTCTAGTTTCTGTTGTGCAAATATGTTTTTCTTTCTATTTTTCTCCAAGTTCTTTAAATTCTGGTGTGAAGGTACCCACGTTACCAATGTGGGTTCAATGTATCATCCATAAATCAACATTGGCGACACTTTAAATGTGAAAATCAGACATGGACAGGTTGGTTTCTTCTTAGATTCATGTTTCCTGTTAGCTTTTTTGACTCTTGGATGGATAACACCAAACTGCTCAAATCATATGGCTATAAACAGTTTTAAATGTTTTTCCAATGTTCCTGCTAACTTCGGTCCGCCTAACATATCATGAATCAAAATTTCTTTTTCTTTTCAGATTCATGAGAGAATAACACCAAATCTTTCTCAGAATTTGGATGAATTTTAACCTGAGACCGGAAAACTGGCATGCAATGGACTCAAGCCTGGGATATACAGTGAATCAAGTCATGAAAAAATATGGAAGAGTGATTAACCTGCAGCTGAGGTTTTCAAAGATGAGAATTTTGAATTTCATAGCCTGGATTATGAATAACCAGGCTTTTTCATTGTTCCATTACTCGTATAATTGTCAAATGTTTTCTTAAAATGAAAGGGTAAATACTTGGTCTTAGTTATAAGCAGTTCACCTACCAAAGCTATAAAAGATGACACTGTAAAAGGCTAATGCTGAGTTTTCATTTCTCCTTCAGTTGACTCAAACAAGAGTTGGCAAACAGAAACGTTGTCGGTTTCTCCGACTTGTTGCACCTAAAAGCCACTTCCTTTGTTTTTTCCACATGGGAAGTTTCACAACACAAGACTGAGTAGTTGACTTTGTTAAAAGTCCAGACATTACTTGGCTTTGTTAAAAGTCATTGCCCGATATAGATTAAAAAAATTGGAGTCAACCCCTTCTTCCAGTCTTCCTCAAGCACCCAATGCTTCACTATCATCAGCTTTTCTAGAAGAAACTGATGTAACTAATCAATATCAGGGAAAACTCGGTCCAATGTTTTGAACTATTAAAACAAGACAAACTTCATTCAACTGATGATTCGGTAGGTACCTAAAGCCTTCTTATATCTATCTAACTAAAGCCTTCAAGTCTCCTCTTTTCACACAAAGAATAGAGGCTGATGATTCAGTAGAGGCCGGTCATCTCTGCCTCACCCTTGGAAGTAAGAAAATTTTGGAGAAATTAACACGTAAAATAGGAATATGATTCAATTATGAAAGATGGGATTGGAATAGAACAAGAATTTTCATTAACTGTCTCAAAATTGAGATTGTCTAATACAGAAATATCATCTGTTACACTGTCAAATGCTGAAATACTGCTAAAATCAGTAATATTTTCTATAGAATTTTCTGAGAAGAAATCCTCGTCTAAGATTGAGCTTTCAATTTCAAGTTCTTCTTCAAAAGAATCAAAGAAAGATATAGTCGGAAATGAAAAATCATCTGCTAGTGTGACATTGCTTTCATCAGAACATTCCTTGTTTTCTTCAATGCCACTGCTTCTAACAGTGATCCAATCTTCACTCCAAGTCCAATAGGAAGCACTGGAAGTTGGTGACAGAGAACCGTGGAGCAATTTCTTGATCCTGTCAGTCGGAGATTTCAAGGGAATCCCTTCAGGAATCAATATCTTAGGACTTTCCACCGCATCGAATGAATCCCAGAAACCTTTATCCAACACACAACTTGGAGAATTCATGGCAGACTCCTTTGCTTCCTTCAAATGGGTGTTTAATTCTTCCATAAATGGATGTTGAAGCAATTCTTTAGCTGTCCATCTCTCTTTTGCATCTCTCCTTAAACACTTTCCCAGAAAATCCTTACCTTTCTCAGATAACCACTTTGGAATCTCAGGTAAATCACCTGAAAATCCAATCTTATAAAGAGCTGACACTGGATCATTCAGCTCTGGCCATGGAGAATTCCCAGTACTCATCTCTATAATTGTACATCCAAGAGCCCATATATCAGCTTCAAAACCCTGTTCCTCCCCACGTGCCACCTCCGGTGCCATGAAAACCGGTGTACCGGAAAATGCTGACGTGCCAAAACCTTCATTAAGACTAACTTTTCCCATCAATTTAGCATAACCAAGATCAGCAATCTTTGCACCTTCTTCACCTATCAAAATATTTTGGCTCTTGATGTCACAGTGTACCATTCCATTAACATGAAGATAATTCAAGCCTTGTAAAATCTGTTGACTATACAATCTAACTTTCTCTTCATCCAATCTTCCTCCAACCCTCTGAATTTCCTCAAAAAGCGTGCCGCCGGGGACATACTCCATGCAAATATTGTACATACGCTTGTTATTTGTTTCATTTGTAACATCATAGCCTATGTACTTAACAATATGAGGACAGCTTAATTTGGACAAGAAATAATTCTCTCTTTGTAAGAACATTGAGTGGCATAACTCGGTGGACTTAACGGCGAAAAGCTCGCCGGAAGGGATGGCGGTAGCTATCGATACGGTGGCGGTGGCGCCATGGCCTATGACAGGTCCTCTAATCCACTCCATTAGAGGAGCACCAAGAAAAAAAAAATTTGTAGGGGCTAATATTGATGTTATGGTACATGTAAGAAAATGTGTATATATAGAAACTTTGAGGGGTACCTTTGCTTTTGGTGACTTAATCCAAAGCATATCCAACAACTTTGAAAGATTCTTAATGACAAAAATCTCTTTCTTACATAGTTAGACTTAGGGTTTTTTTTTTTTTTTTTTTTGTTCATAAAGCAAGAATGGAGCACGTGGCATGATGTGAATGCCACGTTTGCTTTAAGCTTGTAATAAAGCCATTCATGTGACGACACAGGAACACAAGCCGGGATTAATCAAAAGTTGACAGCGTGAACTGAGTTTGAATTTGTTTAGGATTTTTGTTTAGCTTAGTTTGAAAGCTGTAAGTATATGGGATTTGCTTAAGTTTGATGCCAAAGGATAAAGGGATTTTACTATGCTTTTGGCTTAGTTGGACAGGCCTGAATGTGAATGCATGTATGAATCATAAATGTCTGCTTTATTTTTGTTTGTTAAGTAACTTTTAATTGTTTTGAATTGAAGAAAATTGTTCAAATGATGTAAAAGATAATTTTTTATGAATCCATAAGTTGTTTCGTACGATCATTTTTAAAAAAAGATGTATAATATATTTTGAATTCAGATTTTAATATTTATAATCTCTTTAAATACGAAATCAACAAAAACCTTTATTGTTTCAATGAATAAAGTTCAATCATTTATGAACATAAGTAAAAAAATTATATATTGTTGTTCCAATGGGCATGAAAATGTAGAGTTGGCCTATTGATTGAAGGAATCAAAGCAAAGTAAATAAGGCAGCAAAGAGGTTGCAACCAACATCAAAAAACTAAAGTTGAAAAAGTTCACAAACTGTTTGTTCATAGTCAGGAAAGCTGGCTTGAGTCAGAGCTTGGATGACTGTAAATGAGGTGTTGGAATATTTAGGATTTGGATGAAACATTTGAGTGAAGTTCAAGCAATTCCAAACTGTGAAAGCCAACTTTTTCTTCAAATCCCTTTCTGATTTAACCCAAATTCCCTTAAAAGTTCTAATATTTGCCTCCTTTTGATTGAAATAGTGGGAGGATGCATTTTATTGGCATCTTGTTTTAGGCTCTTTCAGCTTGTCAGCGCTCATTTTCTTTTACTCAATGTTGCTAGACCTTTAAAGCTTACCCCTTTACAGCTACATCCACTAGGTGAAACATGAATTTATAGATGCTCTACTTTGATCTGAATTTGGCTGAGGCCAACAATCCACCTCCATTCCAATCTTCTTCTTGTTTTTTGTCACTTTTTTATCTCTAACCTCAATTTTTTTATTTGAAAAGATCTTTAACTATTACAATTATCAATTATGTTATTATGTTAGATTTATTTATACGCTGCTAGATCTTTATGTCATCAGTTAGAGGTATGATCTGCTAGGCAGTACACCCGAATAATTTGATATGTTACAGGGCATAATGTTGAGTGTTTATCGTACGTGTGAGCGACTTAAAGCAAGGTTAAAAGGCGATGCTCTAATACATGAATTTTGTGGGAACAAGATGAGCCTAAAGTGGCTTCAAGCTGGCAGTTGACTAGTATTTGTATTGTGCCTTTAGGTTCCAAACACGAGAGCCGTTCGGACATAGCGTTGGATTCTTATCATACTAGATGAAGATACCATCAAGAGAACTAGAGTTACACGTTCCTATGTGAATTCAAGGAGTGTAGGTACTCAAGACCTTGGTACCTACGGAAATGGATGGATGCTCTGGGCACCTTGAGACTTATGGGCTGATGATTCGATGAAAGTTGAGTCTATCTCCACGAGTTTGAAAATGTGGTAAGATCCTGCGGGGTTAGAGAAAAAAAAAAAAAAAAAACTCACGAATATGTGATTTAAAAAATCGATATTAAATTATTCATAATAAAATGAATTTGCAAAAGATTGACCTCAACTATGAGTAATTTAGATATTAAATCAAATGTTAAAATATACTTACCAAGGGGCATAACTGAAGGCAGGCAGAGGCTATGGCCCCAAAAAATTTTAATACCCTTACATGTATAAGATTCTTTCTTATGAAACTTAGTATTTGACCATCTTTTCTTATTGAATTTCTCTTTTCTCATTGAATTTATTATCTGATCCCCTTCTCCTTATACCTAACTTCGCCTACAATTTATCTTTTACCAATCACGAATCAAATAGTAGTTATTAATATAGTTGTATTACCCAATTTGAAGCAAAAACCCAAAAAAATGGCTACTAACAATGTCCATCCATTGACAATCAAAACTACTATCAATAATCAATACGTTATCCACAATTTTATACAAATAATTTGTGTTTAATAGTGACCCACTTTTCCAGTTATTCTTCTGTTTTGGACTCGCTGGCTATATTAATTCCTTCATTAAGTTGTTTTTTGACTCTCGGACTAGGCTTAAATCAGATGACAGCTTGACATCGAACTTATCCAATGATTGTTCAATGAAGTAATCTTTGTTTTTGATTGAACATAGTTCTCTCTACTCATTATTTGAGCAATCTTATTCCTTTATGCTACATTATTGAAATAAAAAAATCTTTGCTTCCACAATTCAGTTTTAACTCAATTTCTCTGGACTTAAGAACATATCCAACAATTTGACATACAAAAACAAAAAATGGAAATAACCGGACAGAAAAATAACCCTATCTAAACCGGACACACACCCGAATGATTTAA